CCCCCCATTTTCCTCCCTCCCTTTCACCGTTCCGTGCCCCGTTGGGAGTTAAGTCCAAGAGTAGGGGCTCATATCGGACTTCATTAGGAAGTCTGCCTGAGGGGGGCGGGGCGAGGCAGACAGTCGGAGGAGCAGGAATCCGCAGTGTATGAGACAAAGAGAAAGTGAGTTGGTTTGCTGCCGGGGAAGTCCGCCCTGACGTGGGCCCGCGGGAGGTTCGGGGGCAACTTTTCGCACAGCAGCAGCAGCAACAGCAGCAGCGCCCCCATCCGGATGCGAAGGTCGCCTGCTTCTATTTCCAGCCCCCCCCCCTCCCACACACACACACAACCAGGAGCTTTAGTAAAGCCGCGTCGGCAATTTATTTTCCCCCCTTTTTGCGCTGCTGCTGCTGCTCCTTGTTTTCGGCGCAAAGTTTCCGCGCCCTCTACTAATGACGGCCACGTGCAGCGATGCAGGCGCCGCCCTGATAAACGGATCCCGTGGGGAGGGGCCGTAAATATCATCGGCGCTGGCAGTTAGCCGTTGTTGTTGTTTGTTGTTGAGCTGTTGCTTCTGCTGTTATTTCTTTTTTTTCCCTCTCTATGCTGTACGCTATACGGCGGCGCCGCGCCACGCCTCGCCACGGTACGGCGGGCGGGTGTCTCTATCCCAGACGGGGGCTCCCAGAAGAGGCTAAAGGGAGTCGGCCGCAGCGAAGTAGAGCCGAATCCAGCAGCTGCAGCAGCAGCAACAGCAACACCCGCGCAAGAGGGGAGCTATAGTGGCCAGGAGGAAACACACACAAGAAAGGAGGCCAAAAAGTCAACTCGTCGGGGGGCGCGGGAGAAACAAAAGTAGTCTCGTCGTAATGAAACGTCGTCATGGCGGCAGAAAAAGGCCCCGGGGACAGACTTGGGCTCCCCTTACGGCCTTCTCTCTCTCTTTCTCCTCCCCGGGGGCGGCCGCCGCCGTCGCTGCACGCCCGGCAGTACTGCACGCCCCAGTGCGCTCACGTATTTGTGTTAGCCTGTGCGTGTGTGTGTGTGCGTGCGTGAAGGCTCGCAGCCCCACGTGCAGCACGTTGGAGCACTGACCCCGGGGGAGTCACACTGATGCACCACACACGTCTCGCACAACACACTGTATACTGCTGCTCGCTACAGTCCGCGCTGTCACGGCAACAACCCCTAACCCACCCCACCCCTCTCCCCTTCCTCCCCCGCCACCTCCTCACCTCGTTGACCCTCGCACTATAAAAGTTTGTGCCCTCCAGAGCCGACACACCGCTTCAAAATGGGATGGGAAAGGAGGGGGGGGCGGTCGGTATGGCGTCGAACAGGACTAGTCACTCAGAGGGGGCGGGCCAGAGAGTGCCGCGTCGGGGGAAAGGGTGAAAAAGAAAAGGGGTGTGTGGCCGGCGGCCCGGTCCGAAACGCATTTGGAGGGGCATTAGGTCCCTGCCGGAGCTAAAGGGGGAGGAGAGGGGAAGTCCCGCGAGGGCGCCGCGAGGAGGTCACTCTGCCACGGCCCGTTTCCGCCGGTTTCCGCCCGCCCCTCGCACAGCGCGCCGCTGCTGCCCCCGCCCGCGCCGCCCCCACCTGGCTCCTTCCCCCGCCGCCTTCTCTGTCCCTCCCGACCCGACCGCCCGCGTTCACTCGCACGACGCTTTAGGGGGGGAGCCGTTTCCTGCCTCGTCCCGACCCGCCCGACGCTGAGTCAAAAGAATGAGGCGCGAAAAAGAAAAGGCCCTCTCTTCGCATTCCGCGCGACGGGCGCGGGGCGGGCGATGGATGCGCGTCGCTGTCCCGCCCGCGGGAGGACTGAGTCGGGGCCACGGTGGTGTACACACATTCTACACCGCGGGAGGAGCGCCTGCCGTCCCCAGTTCCAATGCACGCACCCTAATGTAATCTCCAATCACACTAAACCCTTATGTTCTTTGTTGTGCATAACATGCACAGCCGTAAGCAGCCATAGTTATGCACCAAATTTCATGTATAACTATGTAAAACTTCAGCATTACTTTGCACAAATTTGTGCATAGTGGCCTTAGTTTTGCATACTTATTCATGAAAAACAGTGCATAGCTATGGCTGCATGAAATCCTGTAAGTCTTATGCACAACAGAATGCATAAGGATTTAGTGTATACACCTTAACGTGCGCTTGGTTGGGGTACTCGAGGTGCTGCAGCGTGCTAGAACAACTCCTTTTGTGTGTTTTATAGCACTTGACTGAGCTATGCTGTTTGCGTGTGGTACCTCGGTAAAAATAGTTTCTTGTATTTCAAGACCTGGTCTTGGATGCCATTGGCGTTCTCCGTAAGATCCAAGGCCGGGTCTTATTGAAATTCAAGAATCTTTTATTTCACCGATTGACGGTGGTATGTTCTCGGGGCCCTTTGTGGCATATGGAACGACCCGTACCGGCGCTAACAAGAAGCTCGGCGTCTTCCTCATTGATCGGCGTCTTCCTCGTTGGTCGGCGTCTTCCTCGTTGTTCGGCGCGGGGCTGCGCGCATCACAGCTGAGGTGCACAAAAGAGCTGCTTGCTTGCGGTTGTTGACGACGCTGCGCGAGGCAAGGCCAGCTCGCGGGGTGAGGCCAGGGTGAAGGTTTGACTCGCCCTCTCGCGCGACGCCGTCAAAGACAGCTCAACCCGAGCGGCAAGAGCGGACGGCTGTTGACTGATGTAAATTAGCTGATAGCCGGCCAAGCGATTCGGTCTCGTTTGCGAAGCAGCATGCCCGGCTTCGCGCGCGTTTGGTATCTTTGAGAAAGTGAAAGTTTAATTTCCGGTCCGGAGCATCGGCAAATAGGGGGGGAGTTGGGGGCTGGTCACGTCGCACTGCATCCGCTTTTATTTCACACGGATCATTTGCATGTTGTCTGCCTCGCCGCTGCTCGGACCGGCAGCTGCAGCCTTGAGTGGCGCGGGGCGCGGGGCGTCTCTGCTGCTGCGATTGCTTCCGCCCAAAATTACTCGCAGTGCCGTCCGTCCCTGCGAAGTTCAGTAGCAAGCTGCCCAGCCGGGCCAAGATTGATGGAGGGGGGGAGGAGGGGGGCTCGGTGCAGAACACGGCGCCAGAGCACAAGGCCGGACACGGCCAGGGAAAGCCGCAACCACCGGACGCTCCGGGGAAAGGTCAACAATAATTCCACCTCTCCGCTAGCCTGAGGAGCGCCAAACACGCCCCGCGGAGCTGGAAGCGCGCCGGCCGAGGGTCTTAAAGCCTCTCGCGATGTGGCTTGTGGCTAGGACCCTTGGACCCTTCCTCAATCCCCCCTCTTACTTCCCCCTTACCGATGAGCACCTCGGGCTTCGCACTCGCAGGGGCGTAGCCGTAGTCAACACTGCTCCCACGAAGCGATGCTTAGCAATTGCGAAGGATTTTGATATTTTGTAACTACGAAGCTATTTTCTTTACGATTGCGAAGCGTCGCTCCGCATTAGCGAGGCACTGCTTCCGAAGCATTGCTTCGCATTTGCAAAGCATTGCTTTGCAACAGTGAAACTACTAAATGGTCGTGGGGTAGCCCACGCGTCTGGGTGGGGAGGGGACATGTCTGCCGCTAGGGTTGCATCGCCCCTGCTCATGATCCGCGATGCCACTTTTGTGTCGGTACGAGGCTCCTCCTAACAGCTCATTCGAACGATTGCTTTATAGGAAAGCCTCGTTGACCTCCATATTAATTACTCATTAGTAATCTACCCCCGAAGTGTATTTTCTGACCGCACCCGCTTGTTGCCTTGATATCGGTCGGTGGTTGGTGCAGCTGCGTTCCCGCTGGCTGCGAGGGAGTCGACCCGCCCAGTATGCCGTCTATTACGACCGCTTGTGAATGTTTGTTATCGGCCTGAGCCATTCCCCGCCACCGCAAACTTGCTGCTTGTTCTGTGTCGGCCTAGTTCGGTCCAGTCCGACGGGGGAATTATCTAGGAAGCATTAACTTACTATGCACTTGCAAAAGCGTTCTTGGCAGCTAGGATTTTAACAGTGCGGTTGTTCACATGTCGTCCCCAGCAGCAGAGGGGCTTTGCGCGAGAGTATGCCCAGTGTTTTCTGTGAATGAAATGCTTTAAAGGGGCTGTCGTTGCTGGAGGTTTGAATGAGGTCGGAGCGGACGGAAAACGCGGCCGGGGACGATCGCTAAAAGCGTCCCAACCTCGGTCCCGCCTCGAACGGGCGCAGCTGTATGGCCGCGCGTTTAGTCTCTTTCATTCAACACACTTCTTTTCACCAGGCCCGCGGCCTCGACCGCGGCGTCAACTTTCTCGGTGCCTCACTTTTATTATTCCCCTAATTATGTCGTCGCGGACGACCGTTATAACGGTTTACCTGTCGTCGTAAACGTTTTACATTAGCGCTTGTCTACACGACCGCACACTTTCCAGCCTTGTTGCGTCCGTGAACCATAATCACTCGGCTTGTTTATAAAGTGCTCGATTATTTATTCATCGTGTTTACTCTGCTCATTTTTTCTTTTTTCCAGAAATTACGCACCGCTTCCAGACGGCCCGGCCCGAGGTGCGGCAGCTGCTGCTGCAGTACCTACTGCCCTGGCTGCACAACATGGAGCTGGTGGACCCGAGTGTGCCTCCCGCCAACCCGCTCTCGTACTTCCAGGTACGTTGTTGTTCGTTACTCATCGACGTTATTGTTTTGTGTGTGTGTGTGTGGGCGCGCCAACCGGTAGCGGGTGGTCGTTATTCTTCGAGCCGGACGTCCCTTTTGCGAAGGGACTTTATGGAGTCCTGCGCTCGATGGATGCAAACGCGCTGCCCGTATCAGCTGCGGGGCATGGGGTGTGGGGTTGGGACAGGAGGGAGGGAAGGCGCTCCACCGAGAGCTCCGCCCAGGGTACAGCGGGTCTGCTTCGGATAGCAACCGGATACGCCGTCATAAATATCGGTATTCGGTATTATTTTATTCCTTGCGGGGGCTGAGGGCGTGGCTTTTCGAAGAGCTGAGCACTTCAATTCCAAATCAGTACACCTATTTCTGGGTTCAGTTTTTACGCT